AAAAAAAAAAAAAAAAAAAAAAGGATGTTTGGAAAAGTGGGTCGTGTGCGAGTTTTAGAGTGGATCATCGATGAAGAGCGAAATTCATAACGAGAGAAGCGATGGCTGTCAATGGCTGAAAGAGGAGGCATGGCTGAAAGAGGATATAAACGACGTTGGCGATGTACAACGCTGCAGGAAGTAGGTAGTGAATCGCGGCTGTAATAAAACGGAACTCGTTTTCTGACCTCTGGCCATTTAATCGCCATGGTGAATTTCGCCTTGGACAGAGGACTCGCATGTGTGTGTTGATCATGTCAAAACTGATGCTATCTTACAAAGTATTCGATGCTTTTTTGAAATGAAATTATCATTCGTTTAAAGAGAAACTTTGTGCAATTTTTATTCTTTTAGGTATTCTTCGTTCCACCTTCTAACAGGTTTCCCAAATGATTAATTAGTTTTAGGAAAATAATGATTCGAAGTTATAATATATTTATAGCATCTAATAACCGAAACGAATGCAATTCCCTCTCCAGAAAATTTGAGGTTAGAAAGGTTAGAAAAATAGCGTCAGCCATGAACAACTTAGAAACTATAATAAATGATATTTCTTCGTAATTTTTGTTCACTTTTTTTTTCTAAATAGTTAAAAATAAATAGAATAAAAAACAAATAATGATGGTTCAGATAATGGGTGTTTTTTTTATCCCAATATTTGTCTTGTTGCTCTTCCAATACTTTGCAAAGTACTCTCGAAATTCCTCATTTTTCGTATAACAATTTACCGTGATAACGCGATACAATAATTTAATTCGAACATCTTAAATATTTATATCAGAATTATAATATAAAAGTTCCAGATCTGTAACGCGCAACGTTCGACGAAGTCTTGGAACAGAAAACGAATTACCAGGCGTTAATTTTACGAGGATACGAGCGGTATAACAGAACCTCTCGTCGAACGACTCGCTTTCGCGTTTCAGAAGAACTTCGAAACGAGTTTCCCCGGTAAAACGCCTATTCGTGTATCGCGTTCACGTTGCAAATTGCGAGGAAACAAGTGGCACACGCGAGGGGGGTGAAACGGAAAGGGAATGAGTTTTTAACAGACGCGATAAAAGCATTGGACTCGGCCCTTTCTCCTTTCGAGGAAGGCCGAGTTTTCTGCCCAACAAAAACCCCTCCTAGCCGAGGGGTTCCACCTTTTGTCGGTGAAATTCTCGTCATAGAACTCGCCATTTTCCACCTTCCCCGTATACCTACGATATCCTTTACCGCAAAAGTCCGTTTATCATGAGTAATCCCTCCGGAATTTCGTTTCGAAAAGTGGCTTTCGAAGCAAAACGAAAAGGTCCGACGATCCTCGACGTCAAAGCGCCCACAACAGCAAACCGCGTTTCCTTTCTTCCACGGACACTGTGCAACGTTTACTGGAACGCGGCCAGAAAAGAAAAACCGTTGAATCCTTT